GGGGGGGGGAGGAAGGGGATGCAGGTCACATGCAGCACACCACTGCAAGGTTTTACCCACATACCTGCCTGCTGGCCCTGAGTCAGTCCCGTGTGTAGGTAGGGAGACTGACGCTTGGCCAAACTAAGTCACTTGCCCAGGGCCCCACAGAGGTTGGTGGCAGGATCAGAATCTGAAGAGGGGACCTTTGTCCAATGTCCAGAAATCAGCTTATTCAAGCAGCCCCCTGCATTTAAGTGGGATGGGTGGCCCACAGGCCAGAGGGAAGTGGACTCAAGAGTCGCCTGCCCTGCCGTCTCACATCAGAGCCCTTTCCTGGCACAGAGACTCAGCAGGATTCTAGAGCCCTCCAAGTCCTCTGGGATGGACAAACGCTGGGTGGGAATGTGGCAACATCAGATGGTTTCCAGGCAATACGGTGAGATTATGGAAGAGATCATTCCTTCATTGTGATTTCTGAGAACACAGGTATAATGCATTCTGTACAGTTTGTAAGAAATACCATTATAATTGGATAGTCTGTCTACTGGTCCTTGGATCAGTCTGTCTATCTCTACCAGGTCACAATTCAATCGCCAAGGCCACACAGGCTCCCACCTCAGCCTCCCCACTCATTTCTGGGGACCAGGGCTTCTCCTGCAAAGCCCCAGCATCCAGAAGCCCCTCATGTGTCCCAGCATGCCCAGGTGAAAGTGGCCCTCACCATGTGCTGGACAGAGGTCGGGAAAAGGCTGAGTCAGCATGAAGGGCAGAAAAGCACATTCCCTCATTTTCAAACTGCTGGACTTTGTTTTCTTTTTTAAAAAAAAATTCAGACATCAGCTTGGCCACTTCCATCTTAAGAAACCAAGAAAACAAGAGATGTGTCCTGTGTTTCCCGGCTGAACTTTCTGAGCAGGATCTGGCCTGATACTCACCGGCTGATCTCTCTTGCTAACAGCCTCTCTCCTGAGCTGCTATGTGGCCAGAGAGCAGAAAGGGGATTGTGTAGGACTGGGCTCCAGTTCCCCTGACCAGAGATCCGGGGCAAGGGGACAGCTCCCTTTGCACCCCTCCAAAATGCCAAATACTACAAATACCACCCCCCAATATACCCCTTGTTAAAAGGTCAGCCACTAGCTCTCACATCGTGTGCAGCTGCTGATATTCAGATTGTTAGACATTAGTATGGAATCGCAGCAGAAACAATGCTTGAAGCTCAAACAGTAGCTACCACATGGGCTGTACCTACCACCCAGCAGCATGTACAACGCAGAGTTTTTCTGTTCAGCCATTGCTTCTAGGTATAAGAATCAAATGAGAAGACGCTTAGGCCTCCACACAGATATCCAGTAGCTGCTCACAGATTAAAATGCTGCACACCCACCAACCATTTTCCAGAACACTCTAAACCTCACGGCTTGGTTCACAGTTATTCCTGTCTCCAGGACTGAGTGAGGCCAGGCAGGAAGCAGGTCACCAGGTCTACACTTGGTCCTATAGCCACCTCACTGGGCATTCCACATGACCTCTTGTCTCCTTTCCTCTGCCTGTCCTGCCTCTCATGGTTCTTGCCAGGATCTGGTGAGGTAAGAGCTGAGCAAGTGCTTCTTAAGGGCCCATCAGTATGGATATAATTCTGCAGAGCACTGAGGGGTACCTGGCACCTTGCCAACCATTGCAGAATACAAGTGCAGTGGCCTAAGCCATGAACAAAGGCAGCCTGGGAACCCCTGGGTCTGAAATCCTGAAATGGCTCTTTAAAAAGCCTGAACTCTGAAGCCAGGTCCAAGGAGGTACACCAAACCCTGGTGCTGATCCTCCCTACAGAGAGCAACAAGTATTCTCTGCTTTCTAAACCCACAGTACAGAAGCCAAAATGGGGATAGCAGGCTTACAGAGGGAGACACAAGGAGAGGTGACAGCTGAGGAAAAGTTTGATAGCAGACCCAGTTCGGGGTTCAAGTGAGGGAGGAGGCAGAGATGACAGTTTCCATGAAATACTCAAAACGAAGCTTTGCACCTCTGAGCCACTGAGTGGGACAGCTTATCCTCAGGGCCCACCAAATACAGCACTGCCCTGCACACATGTGCATGCATGCATGTAGTCATGTGTCTACACATGTTCATGTGTGCAGCAATGTGTGTGTGCGCATGTAACCACACACAGCTTGCATGCATGGATTTGTATGAATGTGTTTGCCTGCATGGGTGCACACATACATGTATGATGCAGCATGCACAAATGTGTGCAGATATGTGCACAGGCAAAAGTGTGTACAAGTGTGCATGCACATATCACATGCATATGAGCATATGCCCATGGGTATATGCACAGATGAGCATGCATATGCGTGCTTCTGTGTCAACTGTGTGTACACATGTATGCTTTTGTTCCTGCCTTTCAAACAGAGTGAGGAGACCTCATGCCATCCATCAGGAGACCCAAAAAGGTCCTGTAAGAGTCACTGCCTCTATGTAAGGTACAGGTGGCCTCTCAAAGGTGGAAGGGAATTCCTTTGTTGTTTTGTTTCCTCCATTTTATGGTAAATGTCTTTGATGTGTGGCTTACAGAAATGATCTCTTTACTCATCTGTATCTGCTCACAGTTCACGGAAAATCTGCTCCAAGTCTACACATTGGTCATGATTTCTTTCATGACTCACTCATAAGGAAGCCAACCTGGGCGCTACAGGCTGAGAAAAGGTCTTGGCTGAGCCAGGTAACAGAAAAGGAGAGGCAGTGCTTTTTATGTTTGTTTGCATTTTGTTCTTAGAGACAAGGTCTGGCTCTGTTATCCAGGCAGAAGTGTAGTGACATAATCATAGTTCATTGCAGCCTCCAACTCCTGAGCTTAAGCAATTCTCCTGCCCCAGCCTTCCAAGTCCCTGGGAATACAGGTACATGCCACCATGCCTAGCTAATGTTTCTCATTATTTAGAGACGGGGGAAGGGGGTGTCTCATTATGTTACCCAGGCTGTTCTCAAACTCCTGGCCTCAAGTGATCCTCCTGACTTGGCCTCCCAAAGTGCTGGGATTTCAGGTAAGAGCCACTATGCCTGCCTAGCATTTTAAAAATAATTTCCCGTCTGCTTATCCCTACTCATGGGTGACCTACATGGGGGATCAAGGATCACTCATAACTACGGAGCTGGGTGTAAATGGAGCCCACTGGGTAGATTCAAGGGCAGGGCAGTGCAGGCTGGAAGGTGAGCACCACACTCCCCATTGCAGAGGAGGTAAGGCTGGGAGGGGAGCACACCTGTCTAGGGAAGGCCAGGTAACAGAAGGCACAACCATGGAGATGTGTGGGTCTCCTGTGACCACTTACAATCAAGGGACAGTGTAGGTAAGACTCTGCCTGGAGACTAGAGAACAGAAGTCAAGTCCTGGGATGGGGCATGGATGAAATGGGCAATGAGCAAACTGGGGAAATGGATTAGAGATCTACAGTGAATACTTCTGTGGCAGTTTTCTGCTCTAGAGTCTGGGAAACCAGCCTGCCAGCCTATCTCTATCACACAAGAGGAATTTCACACACAAGTTCAAAGTCCTCAGAATCCTCGGGGGCACACTCGGACCTTCTCCTGAGAGCAGAGCAGAGGGCCAAGGCTGGGAGACACAGCAGCATCAGTGCAGAGAGGACAGGTAGGGTATGCAGGAAACCCTGGCTCAGAACCATGTGCTGAGATGTTGGGGGTGACATGGGGTTGAAGGGAAGCCCATGCCACACAGCCAAGGAGGACTCTCTTGCTCTCCCAGCCAGAGTCCTTAACCAGCTAGGAAGGGGCTGGACTAAGTAGGCAACCTCAGCTGCCACCCCCCATTCCCAGGCCCTCCTTAAGCATCAGGGGAAGAAGTCAGAGCAGCCCAGGGGCTGCTGGCCCATGGGTGCTTTTTGAGGTATAGCCAGGGTGCTGGGTGGCACTGACATGCTCGGGCAGAGGAGATAAGAAGCTTCCTGGGCCACAAGGAGGGCTCTAAGGCCTGGGCTTTGTAGAGCCCAACATAAGAGTCCAGAGCCAAGGGCCCACAGGACAGGGGTGAAGGCAAGCAGGCGCCAGGGGAGACCCTCTTGCTCAGTGTGCAGACCCCCATGGCATCTGCTTCTATCCTTGGCTAGTCAATGGGGAGCCCTGGGTCCCCCCATATCCTGCACTGGCAGATGGCGGCAGTAAGAGAAGAAAGCGTACTGACCGCTGGGCGGTTTAGGCCGTGGAGGAGCAGGTTTCTTCGGAGGCAGAGCAGGAGTGTCCTGTTTACTTTTAAAGGGGTCATCTGAGAATCCTGCCCCTCCCAAGGAGGAGGTGAAAGGGCCAGAAGTTGGGGGCTGTAAGAGAGGACACGAAACAGAGGCAACAATAATCGTTAAAATGAAGGCAATGGATGTCCATCGAGCAGACACTTGGGCACTGAGGGCCTTTGCAAGGCCTCTAACCCTCCTGGCTGCACAGCTCAGCCCTGCTCGGACCCAGGGTCTCTCTCAAGGCCCTTTGCTTTCTTTCACCCTCAACAGCAGGGGCCCTGTGGCCTGTGAAGGGTAAGCTGCCCGGCACACAGTAGCCTTGTCCCCTGAGGGGCTCCCATCCAGGAAGGGCACTCACGGCTGTGCTTGCCATCCTGCTGGGCAGGTGAAGGTGGGGGTGTTGGGGTCTTTTCTGACTCCAGGACTCAGCACACAGGGTCCATGGGGCTCCCGCTCACATGGCAGATACGCGCCTAACCCTCACTGCCACCATCACTCTCACCCAATGCAGTGCTCAGTGAGGATCTCTGTGACACCCCCAGCTGAGTGGGCCAATGTGGTCACTGCCTCTGGTTAGTGATGGGCAGCTTCACATGCTGGATCAAATGGCACTAGAACCTCCCCCCCCACTGGGCTGCCCACCAGCCACTGCCCCCACAGTGACCCAGGTTGCACTCACATGCCCAGCCCACCCCCTACCCATCAGCAAGATTGCACTACCCCCATGGGGGCTCTGACCACCCCTGCCCAGACCTTCCAGTAGTCTCCTCCACCCTGGCACATGCTCACCCTCATAGTCGCTGCCTCAGACCCAAACCAGATCATCATCTCAGCTTTAAACAGACAGTGACAGTTATATAGAGCTTGGTGGTTGCATGGGAGGATACGGGTGGATAAATGGATAGGTAGATGGATGTATAAATGGATGAGTGGAGGAATGAATGACAAATGGATGGATTGATAGGTAGGGAGAGAGAGAAGGGGGTAGAGATAGGTAGGTAGGTGGGTAGGTAGATATGTAGAGATGATAGCCAGGTAGCCCTGAACACCTAAAGCTGACAGGTAAGCTCTAGGTTCTCGTTAATGCACATGGGGCCTTCATCACCATCCCCTCATGATGACAAACTCTCAGTCCCTAGACCCCTTGTAATATGCAGATGCTGATGCAGCCTCCCATTTCCGGGCCCTACACACACAGATTCCGGGGAGCTCAGTTCACCCATCCACTTGGAGCCCATCTCCTTACTAAGACACTGGCGCCCTCTCCTACGGGCCCCTTCTTGCCAGCCACAGTGGCTCAGATACCATGCTGTTGCCCAGCAGGGCATGAGTCACTATGTCTCCATGACCAGCTTCCAGGCCTCTCCCACCTGGAGAGCCAGAGCAGACAGGGCCAGCACACGCTGCTATAGTGCCCACCCCTCACTTCAAGTACCAGTGCAGTATGAACTCCGGTATGCCTCAGGTTCCCTGCATGCAAAACAAGAGGTGTGAGGCTTAGCTGCATCTCAGGCATCTGAAGAAAGGGGCTGGGGCCACCAGAAAGGAGAAAATTACTTTCTATTGGGGGCACAGGGAGAGTGTATTAAAACAGAAAATGACTACAAAGAGGAGAGGGGACCTGGGGTAGGGTGGGGATAGGTCATAGCTAGAGAAAGTGGCCGGGAGGAAGCTTTTAATTCTTTCCTCAGCAGGACAAGGCTAGAGGCAGAGAACAGAGCAAAAACACACAGGTATACTTGAGTTTCCCTAAGTGGGGAGGAGAAGCTAACCCCACCTCTGGTGATGAGTCCCAGACACAGGTCACCTTGGCCTCTAGCATTTACATTCAGGGTCTTAGCCCCCCTGTAAGAGGTAGCCACCCCTACCCACACCCAGGTCCCTGGCAGCAGGTAAGTGGTGGGTCTGCAAAGGTTTCTGCACCCACACCTCAGTCCCACTCAGCTCTCTGGAGCCTCCCAGGTGGGAGACACTCACTGTGTTGATATTCTCACCTAAACTAGCCAGCAGCCTTGGGAGGGAACCCTGCAGTCAGCACATCTATTTTACACACAGAGAAACTGAGGCACAGAAAGGAGACATGGCCTGCCCAAATCACACAACAGATTGGCAGAAGACTCGAGGCTGGACCCCACATCATCTGCTTCCATCTGAGGCCAGAGCTTCTGGGCACTGCCCTTGGCTAGTGGTGGCTGCCCCAAGGGTGAGTATGGGACCACATCCTGGACAAACTGCCATTGCCTCAGACCTGTAGAGGACACATCCCCGGGCATGGGCAAGAGACAGAGCTGGCTGAAGGGTCAGAGGGAGGAAAAAACATTTTCTCTTAAGGAAGACAGAGCCTGTAACCCCAATTCATTTCCCCACCAAGACCAGCATGGCCTGCTGGGAAGGTCCCAGAGAGAAGAGCAGCTGGGCAGGGCTATAGCGAGGTGACAGGGGCACCTTCCTCTACAGCTGTTCCTTTGCCTCCCACCACACTCTGTGGATGGTTGGGGCACCTGCCTAGTCAGGCTGCAGAGCCTGGTGGCCTGAGGCAGAATCTAGAACCCCTGTCTGAATCCTAGCCCTACCAGCAGCACTGTCCATTTCATGCCTCAGTTTCCTCATCTGTAAAAATAACAAGAGGGACAGATGCCTGCTTTCAGGGCTGTGCAACAAAAAAAGGAGATGTGTAGCAAGTGTCTATCCACTGGTACCCAGATGTCAGCACATGGACAGTGCAACAATTCCTGTGCCCAGTATGAGGTCAGAATAGTTCACCCATCAGTGTGGAAGCTTGACTTCTGTCTCTCCTGCCATAGTCCCCAGACCTATCTGAGAGGGACTCAGCATGGGAGAAGAGCTATGGCATAGGACTGTAGCTGAGGTTTCAAATGGGCTGTTTAGGGTCTATGTTTGGGAGAAAATAAGATGAGGACAGAAGAGACAGGTGAAATACTGGTCTGTCCACAAGTGCTTTTGCTGTTCATGGAATGCATCCCCAGGCCTAGGGCTCATGTGGTCCTTCTCACAATTTTTTTTTTCTTTAATAAGAAATGGAGTGTCAGGTTGGGGATACGGGGTCATAGTGTATGGTACATTTCTTGGAGGTGGGACACAATTATAAGAGGAACTTTATCTAACAAATGCAATCAGTGTAACCTAATTCTTTGTACCCTCAATGAATCCCAAACAATAAAAAAAGAGAGAGAGAAAGAGATGGGGTCTTGCTCTGTCTCCTAGGCTGGAGTGCAATGGCACAGTCATAGCTCACCACAGTCTCAAACTCTTGGGCTCAAGTGATTCTCCCACCTCAGCCTCCTGGCTAGCTGGGATTATAGGCACCACCATAATGCCTGCCTAATTTAAACAAAAAATTCTTTTAGAGGTAGGATTTTGCTATGTGCCCAGACTGGTCTTGAACTCCTGGCCTCAAGCGATCGCCCTGTATCAGTCTCCCAGTGCTGGGATTATGGGTGTGAGCCACTGAACCTATCCTCTCTCTACAACTTGAGGTAGGCAGGAAGGAATGGAAACCATTTTCTTAGCAGAGGTGGTAGGACTAGGGTGAGTCCCCTGCATTGACCCCAGCCCTCATCCTGGTCCTGGGAACATACTGGCTCAGAGGGAGGGGCATGGAAGGGACACACTTCTCTGCAGCTGCTCACTCTCCTCAACACACACAGCCTTCTGGGCCGTGACTCTCCACTCTGAATGAACCCTAAGCCCGCAGGACCAAGGGGAGCCTTTTCACCCTCTGGCTCACACAGCAGAACCTGGGCTCTAAGAGTACACTCAGCCAAGAGTCGCTAAGTTGTGAGACCTGATGATACACTCAAATGCAGCTGCCTTGTTCCCTAGGCTGACCAGGGACATCTTCAGCCAAGTAGGCTCAGTATTTTCTACTTATATTTGAACCTGCAGGGCCAACTGGCTCCCTCAGAGATGCCAGGGTTCCTACCATAAATGGCACCCTTCAACAGTGAATTCTATAACTCTTTTTTTTTTGAGACAGAGCCTCAAGCTGTCCCCCTGGGTAGAGTGCCGTGGCATTACAGCTCACAGCAACCTCCAACTCCTGGGCTCAAGCGAGTCT